CAGCAGATGGTCCTAGAGAGGTAGCTCAAAGGATATTTTTCTGGTATACTCTACGCCAACCTCAACAGCCTCTAGTGCTGGGCTCACCAGAACATATAGCAAAAGTAATGGAAGCCCTTCCCCGGGAGTGTCAAGAATTTGTCAGGCTTTTTGATCCAACACCAACAGACCTGGAAATGGTACTAACTAGAGCTGATAAGTGGTGGATCAAGCATCCTTTCACAGAACAGGCCTGCTCTGTTTCAGCTGTAAGAACATTTAAGGTCGAGTCTGGTAGAGATGTAGATGGTAAATGGAGAAGCCAGAGGTGGGGTGTACCCCAGAACAAGAGGGATAATGAGAACTGGAGACCAAAACAGGACTTTGACAAAAGATGGAGAGATCCACAGAGGGACCATAGGAATAGGGACAGTTCTAAAGGAAGTAATGTAATGGGAGATAACTGGAGGAATAGATGGGAGGGGCCTAAGGTAATCAATAATAATTGGAATAATAAAAATACCTGGGAGAGGCTAAAAAGGACAGATATTAACTGGGAAAATCACAATTGGGGAGAAAAACAGAGAAACAACAGGAACAGTTATTGGGAGAATAATTGGAGAAGGAACCATAGATGGGATGATCATCAGACCAATAGACGGAATTGGGATAATTGGAGGAATAAAGAAGGGAATAGAGACTACTGGGACCTAAAGAGACAGACTGAAAGATTGGAGGCAGACGTGAAAGCGCTGAGGGAACAGTTGAGAGAGTAGGAAAAGATTGACCAATTGGGGGGTCCCAGCAATCAATAACACTCATAATTTTGTTGTCCTCTACATCCTATGTATGTTTGTTTTTCTTTTGTTTTGTTCTTTCTCTCAGTCTTCCAGTCTCCCATTTAGCTATTCCTTTCTAATGATGAGATCTAGTGTTCCCACAGAGCAAGGCAAAGCTGTATTAGGATGATGATGTGTGTCAACAGAAGATCGTAGTGGATCCTTGTTACAGGATGGATAAGTATACGCTGTATCACAGTAGGGATGGGAGACAGGCAATACGGCCAGAAGATACTCCAAATAAGGGAGAAGATTACAGTCTATATTTTAATAATCCTTCTATTCCTCCAAGGTGTCCGGAACAACGGCGACAGTGTTTTAGGCAAAGCAGGGTGTCAGGAAAAATGGGACAATTTGCAGCTCTACTGGGAGGAGTCGGAACTGGATTGAGAGTATGGAATTCTGCAAATATCACATCCAGTCCTACAAACTTTGCTGCTAGTACTCATGCTAAATAGATGAGGAAGAAACTTGAAAAGGGGGATTTTTTTGTTTTTTTTGTTTTTTCTCTCTCTCTTTCTCGCTCTCTCACACATTCTTCAATAAAGTTTTACATTGCACACACACACTCTCACCTACATTCTATAAGTTCTGTTTTTTGTGACACTTTGTATAACACGTGAATTGACAGCCATAGGAAAGTACAGGAGAACTTATGTCGCTGAGGGAACTATTCCGGAGGGACGGTGGGTTGAATTTCTCCTGTATATCAGGTTTTTGCTCCCACTAGGTTTTCCTGTACTAGAGGGATAACTAGATAACGGAGCAACATAAAAGAAGAAAAAGTGGGGGAATGTGTGGTGATGTAACCCCTATTTGACTGTTTTCTTTCACCCTGCTTATATCACTCACTATAATTCCTGTGCTCCCCTTTCCTACTTCAGATCTCATAGTTTAGATAGAAGGGATAAATTATTATTTTTAAATGTGCTCAACATAAGAGAAGAAAAAGTGAGGGAATGTGGTGACATTCTGTCATCAAACTAATATGGTGACCAGGGGTCATGTGACCAAGCTCATGTTTGCTTTTCTTACAGTGGGATAAGCTTTACCCTTTTGAAATGTTAATTGGTAATTCAATACCTTTACAAGTCAGGAAAGAGATAACCACTTCCCCTTTCTCCATTCCTCTCTGTTCCTTCTTGGCTGTGCTGCAGAGCAGATGTGCAGACGCCATGGGCTAGCATGGTGAACCATGTTACACTCTGTTGCTTCCTTTTCTTCCTTGGTGGATGTGATGTTGAACTTGTAGAAGTGAGCTATTACTAGATGTGAAGGCCTAACGTGGGTGAGATCAAGCGTGTGTGTAAGGGGTTACTATATAGATAGATAGATTTAAAAAGGGTTGTTGCTCCGTGGGCCTGGGCTGTGTGTTTGTGATACATTTATAATATTGTGTTGTTGCCTTTTAATAAATACCTTTTAATGTAGACGAACCTTGTGTAATATATATATTAATTTGGTGATACACCACAGCCTTCTTTTCCAGCGCTTTACTTTTGATTACCTTCTATAGCAGCGGAGATCTTGGGATTTAATATTGCAGCTCCGCTATAATTGGTGGCAAGCAACGGGATACAACCTTACAGCCGAAAAGCGATGTTCGGGTAATTGAAACTACCGAACAGGAAAGTGAATGGCAATTCGGATACAACAAAGAACCGAACACAGAGGTGAATGGAGACAGACTACACTGCATTGAAACGGCAGACGTTAAAGGAAGCCAGGGGTAAGATAGCCAGCAATAAGCCAAAAGCTGTGCTGATTGCTGAATTGATGGAGGGAGACAGAGCTCGCAGCGTTACACCCCCACCAGCCATGGAAGAAACCCTCTTCCAAAAGGAAATGAGGACCAGGATGGAATTTTTACCCCAGCCAGTACCCCTGGAAATACTGACAGTACTGATGGTGGATGTGCAGGAGTATGTGATGACAGACGGACCGCAGGATCCTCTTCCCAGAGCAGAGTCTATTACTGCTTCAGTCGTCAGCCAGGTAAAGCCTAAGATCCCATACCATGCGTTTAAAATGTTCTGTGAAGAGAAAGACGAGATTGATGGGTATCTACAAGACTTTGAGAGGCTATGTGACTTGCATGATTTGGAGCAGGCAGTGTGGGTACCTTTACTGGCAGGCAAACTGTCAGTTCGGGCAGCCGAAGCCTATCGGGCTGTACCCAGGGAGGACAGTAAAGATTTTGCCCGGGTAAAACAGGCTATACTGGAAAGATACGCCATTACCCCAGAGGCATTCCGGCGCAAGTTTCGAGGGTTGTGCAAACCAGAGAAAGATTCCCACGCAGAGTGGGCCCACAAACTGGACCAAGCCTCCCAGGGGTGGATACAAGCCAGTCAAGCAACCACCATGGAGGAGTTACGGCAATTGCTGCTGTTAGAACAGTTTTTCAATGGCCTGTCCCCAGAGGCACAGGAATGGGTGAGAGATAGAAAACCCCTCTCCCTAACAGAAGCAGACCAGCACTATGATGCCAGGAGGCATCACGGTAACCTCAACCGAGGATACCCTCGACCCACCGCTCAACCTCATACAGCTACCCCTACTGCACCTACAGCAAGCCCATTCCGGCTAACCCCGGGGGGGCACACTCCACCATCCAGGTATAATGGCAGAGCGAATATACAGTGCCATACGTGCAAACAATGGGGCCACATGGCGAGAGAGTGTAGCCAGAACCGGAGCCGCCAAGCATGGAGCCAGGTACGGCAGAATCCAGCACCAAGAGCAGCCACCCACCACTACCAAGCAGAGCCAGCAACGCAGGAGATACTTTTTAATCAGACCGAAGAGCCCCTGGGGATGCTACACGATGGGATGTCGGTACAAGCCACAGACAACAGGCAACACCATCGCCAGCTAGTAATCCTGGAAGGGAAAAAGGTCCAAGGGCTCCGGGATTTGGGAGCCACTCTGACTCTGGTAGCCCCTCATTTGGTTCCAGGCTCCGCACACCGACGGATCTGTAGCAGTTGCGAGTAGCAGGGGGAGCGGTATACAGATTACCCACCGCAAAAGTACATTTGAATTGGGGTGTTGGGGAGGGCATGGTAGAGGTGGGCCTGATGCAGAAACTGCCAGCGGATGTTGTATTGGGAAACGACCTGGGTCGAATGACTTCCAACTTTATTCCTCAAGCTCCACTCCAAAAGGCTCACCCAGTAACCACCAGGCAACAGGCTCGCACCACGGCTCCAGCAATGCACTCTGAGGCTCAGGTAAAAGACAGGGACCCTCCTACGACCCGTGTTACCTGGGATACCCCGACTGAATTTGAGGTTCAGGTTCAGATAGACCCCACATTAAAAGTATACAGGGATAGGGTGATCTCCGACCAGGCCGGATTAGAGGGAGAACGGTATACCTGGGAAAAAGGGTTGCTGTACCGCATTTCTTAAAAGGTAGTGGGGGGATCTGTGAATGTGACTACTAGACAGCTAGTGGTCCCCCAGAAATATAGACAGGAACTCCTTCGGATCGCTCATGACATCCCCACGTCTGGGCATCTGGGGATGACTCGCACCCGATACCGCTTGACCCACACCTTTTTCTGGCCGGGTATATCCAAGGACGTGCGGCAGTACTGCCAGACATGTGACATCTGTCAGTGAGTAGGCAAGAGGGGTGACCGCCACAAGGCCAAATTATGCCCACTGCCCATCATAGACAAACTATTTAGTACAGTGGCCGTAGATATAGTAGGGCCCTTACCAAAGCCCAGTCCCTCCGGCAAGAGATATATCTTGATCATAGTAGACTACGCCACCCGGTACCACGAAGCAGTAGCCCTCTCTAATGCTCCATACCTTTGGAGAGGCCTATAAGGACTGGGAGCGATTCCTACCCCATCTGCTATTCGCTTACAGAGAGGTACCCCAAGAGTCCACGGGCTTTTCTCCTTTTAAACTACTGTGTGGGAGAAGGGTGTGAGGACCTTTAGATTTAATTAGGGAGCACTGGGAGAGTGAAAGTATTACAGATGGGACACCCATTGTACCATATGTGCTGGAGCTCAGGGACCACTTGGAGGCACTAACCCAGACCGTATGGCCCAACCGCCAGGCAGCCCAACAACGCCAGCGCCGCTGGTATGATAGGGGAGCCAGAGACCACAGCTTTCATGTGGGACAGAAAGTTTTGATTTTAAAACCTGTTTGCAATGACAAACTGCAGGCCATCTGGCAAGGCCCATACCAGGTGGTGGAACAGAGATGTGACACCACCTATGTGATTGGCCCCTGCTCAGGGACAGGGAAGAGACGCATGCTCCACGTGAATATGCTCAAACCCTACCATGAGAGGATAGAGGATGTGGCGGCGATATGCGCTTCAGCCTCTGAGGATCAGGAGAATCTTCCGCTACCTGACTTATTAGAGCGGGAAGATCAGGCAGAGGCCTCTACAGGTGTTCAGCTGGGGGAGCGGCTAAGTCCTCAGGAGCATGCCCAGGTACAGGAGTTAATCATGGCTAAGGGAGCCACTTTCTCCAATTTACCAGGGTACAACCCGCTAGCTACTCACCGAGTTGAGACCCCCGGACAGCTACCTATGCGGCAGACCCCATACCGTATCCCGGAAGCGGTCAGGGAACATATGAGGAAGGAAATTGAGGAAATGTTGCAGCTAGGGGTTATTGAACATTCCAATAGCCCCTGGGCATCGCCGTTAGGCTGGTACCCAAGAAGGACAGCACAATACTCTTTTGTGTAGACTACCGGAGACTAAATGACAAAACAGTGTCTGATGCCTACCCGATGCCCCGGATAGACGAGCTGCTAGACAAAATGGCACGAGGCCAGTACCTTACTACAATAGATTTATGGAAATGGGTAATGGCAGATTCCACTAGCCAAAGATGCCATCCCCAAGTCGGCGTTTGTCACCCCGTTTGGCTTGTATCAGTTTCGCGTCATGCCATTAGGGATGAAAAACACTCCGGCTACCTTTCAACGGATGGTGGATCGGCTACTGGATGGGTTTCAGGACTATGCATGTGCATACCTGGATGATATCGCCATCTATAGCCAGACCTGGTCAGACCACCTGCGACATATTGGAGCAGTCATTGACCGTATCGGAGAGGCAGGGTTGACGCTAAAGCCCAGCAAGTGTGACTAGGGATGGCAGAGGTACAGTACCTGGGGCACCGGGTAGGGAGTGGACAGCAAAAGCCTGAACCAGAAAAAATTGAAGCAGTAGCTAAGTGGCCTACCCCTCCCCCCCCAGACAAAAACCCAAGTGGGTACTGCAGGGTACTACCGAAAATTCGTACCCAATTATAGTGCCCTGGCCAAACCCCTGACTGACTTGAACCGCAAAAACCTTCCTCGACAGGTCATCTGGGCCCCAGAGTGTGATCAGGCGTTCCAACAACTCAAGACTGCTTTAACCAATGCAGCTGTACTTGCTGCTCCCGATCCAACTAAACGATTTCTTGTCCACACAGACGCTTCAATGTTTGGATTGGGAGCAGTGCTGAGCCAAGTTGGAGCAGATGGCGGAGAACATCCCGTAGCTTACTTAAGCCGAAAGTTATTACCCCATGAAGTGGGAAAGAATGCCTGGCCGTGGTGTGGGCCCTCAGAAAGTTGCAGCCTTATTTATATGGACAACCTTTTTCCCTACTCACAGATCACAACCTGTTGGTGTGGCTGAACCGTGTGGTCAGGCTGCTGCGCTGGAGTTTGGCGCTGCATCCTTTTGACTTTACTATTCATTACCGTCCAGGAAAGCAAAACGGTAATGCCGACAGGTTATCTAGACAGACTGACCTTGAGAAATGATCTGTGAGCACTCCTCCGGACATCCCCAAGCCGATCCGTTGGGATCAGACTGTGTATGCTGGCTTGGTTCTGGGGGAGCATTGTGGCAAACCTAGCCACTTTAGGTCATATTGCAGAACATTTAAAGGTTGTCTGAAATAGCTGTGTTAACCTGGTGTAAAAATGTATTCGTGTGTTTTAGAATAGAGAGCATGCATAGGCTAACAGCCATGAATAAAATTGTCAGTTGACTCCCTGAACTGTGTTTCGTCCGGTTACTGGGGGATTTGGGATATTGCCTTCTTTTCCAGCGCTTTACTTTGGATTACTTTCTATACCAGCGGAGATCTTGGGATTTAATATTGCAGCTCCGCTACAGGTATCACCTGACATGCAAAATTGAGGCTGCCAATCAGTGACTGCAATTCCATCAACGTGACCTTCCGGGGTTGTACAATGACTTTCACCAATCAACGAAGAGCAAACAGTTTGTCCATGGACAATCTACATTCCTCTTTCACCAAATCAATTTCAAACCCCTGCTCCTCCCCACCTGTCCAAAGAGACTAACCGTCTCCTACTGTAGCATGCATCTGGCAAACCTCCATCTCCGCTGTGCTGCCCAGCTGTGGACCGACACTCCTTCTGTTTCCTAGTCCTGTCTCTAGAATAGTCAGTATTCACGATTCCCTTTGATGGGACACTTAGTGACCTGCTTCCCTTGTTGCTGGGTGCACCCTCTCCTGCCCCCCGTAAAGAATCAGACGTGGGGATTCCACTGTCAGTCACACTGGGAAATTGAAATAGGCCACCCTCTCATGCTCCTGATCCCACCTGAGCTGAGGAAAATTGATTTGGGCTCATCCCGGGACTATGGACCTACTCGACTCCTGCATGTCAACTGGGCCCACCTGCCCATTTATTCCTACCTGGGCTAGCCATGTACCGCACAGTCCCAACCCCAGCAGGAGCTTCGCCAAAGTGGAAGCTATCCTGCTATCTGGGACCTGCTGACCCGCGTGCCTACTTGTCCCAAACACCCGAGGATGGTCCCTGTCCCTTTCTTTTCTCCTCCTTCTAGCCATGCCACCTAGGCCACCGTGACCCACCTCAGCAACTGGCTCCCAACTGCCTCGTATGGAGGATGAAGTCCAGGCAGCCCTCTCGTCCTCCTGAGGCCTGCTGTTGGCATAACGCTGCCACGCCTGATATCCACCGTACAGAGAGGTGGACTTAGCTCTCAGTCAGATGACTCACTCAGCACCTCAGGCCGCTGTTAAGGAACTTTGCCTTCGATCTCTCTGAGGTGGGGCTTCACTGTGACTCAAATGCTGAGGTGGCCTAGTCCTTCTCGCAGGCCCATGTGCAGGAACCGAAGAAGGACCAGCCAACTGAATCGAAGTCTGTAATTTGCTAAGTCTTTCAAATAAATCCAAAAGAGAACTGAGCATGTCATGAAAAAAAGGTTAACACAAGTTTCAGGTGGTTTTTAACATGTTTTTTCAAAAAAACAAAATTTGAAAATTCCAGAGAAATGATAGTTGTATTTTATTTTTTTTATTTTTTTTTTTGTTTTGAAAACTTTTTTTTTTTTGTGAATATGATTTTTATTCATTTTGTGTATTTAAATTTGCGGTGAGACGCGCAGGTCTCCATTGCATGTTATTATAAAAGGTAACAAATTAGGCTCGCAGGCCCCATCACAGAAGGACTCGCAGGTCCCCATTTTCTGGTATTTACATTTGTTTGGGACTATAAATTAAGTAACGTTTTCATGAACTGAGTGAAAATAATGCTTTGTAATCGTCCTTGAACCAGATTAATCAGTCTTTGATTAGGTGTCAGTGTTTGTAGGCCACCCCTATGGTCCCTGTCCACGGCGTCTCATCGGGCCCTGTGTCCTTAGCTATGTGTCATCGACCGTGGTGGGCTTGTGTTTACCCCCGTTATTACTATCGGTGTTTCCCGTGTTTAACCAGGGGAATGATGGTATTGCGGGTAAAGGGTACCCTTACCTTGGGCGTGTGGATACTGCATTAGCCGTGTCAATGCTGGGCCTGTCCAGGGTTCCTTCAGGTGTTCGCATGTTTTGGCTTTGGGGTGTCTTCCCGGGCCGGTCTGGATGTAAGTACCAGTTCGTGTTCGTTGATCGTTCCCAAATATGTTTTCCCTTGTCGCTATGGGTGCGGTGGGGATGATTCAGTCAATGATGATGCTCTGGTATTTCGCAGGGGGCAAGAGGGGGGGAATGTGTCTGGGTGGGAAGAAAGGAAGGAGGGGGGGGGGTAGTTCCGTCCAGTTCGTCTGTCGTCCATCTAGCGTCGTCTGTGGTGTGTGTTCTGAGTACTATCTGTCTGTGTCGTGATTCCCGTTAGTGTTAGGCCTGAGTTCTAATTGGAACTCTTCTTTTGCCGTCTCTAGAATCCAGTGCGTCCAGATGCTCATGTAGGTAGTGGGTGTAGTGTTGGCCGTCATGGTCAGTTCCTCTATTGACCTTAGCTCTTCCATTTGGCTAAACCAGGTCGAAAGTGGAGGTGTAACTGTTTGTTTCCAGAATTGGGGGAGCACTCGTTTGGCCACGTTAAGTATTCTAATGGTCATGGATTTTTTGTATTTGGATCGGGGAACTGTTGTGTGGTGTAGGAGCATCGCTGCCGGTTCCAGGGGGGGGGGCGCGTCCGCGAACTTCTCTAGCATTTTGTGTATCCTCTTCCAGTATGGTTGGATCAACGCGCAATCCCACCAGATGTGTTTTGTGGTGCCCACCTCTCTTTCACATCTCCAGCAGAGTCTGGAGTGGTCTGGGTTTACGTGATGAAGGAGATGTGGTGTCCTATACCAATGTGTTAGAAGCTTGTAGGCCGTTTCCTGTGTTTTGCTGTGAGTGGAACAGTGGTGTGTAAGGTAGCAGATGGTTTCCCATTCTGCTTCCGTTAGTGTGTTACCCAGGGCTGTTTCCCATTTTCCCATGAATAGTGGTGTCTCGGACGGGGTTTCTGATTGGAGCATGGAATATAAGAAGGACACTCCATGCGGGAGCGGGTCTGGGTGTGAGCTGACCACTTCTATCGTGGTCTGGTCTCTGGCCAGTGCTGGTCCCTGCGGTAGGGAGTGGATGTAATTGGTCAGTTGGGCATGTCGGAAGCGGTGCATAAAGGTCGGGGGCGTCTCTCCCATCAAGTCCGTTAGTGTTTTACATTTCCCACCTTGAAGGAAGTGGTGTAGGCGTGGGGTACTGTCTGGGAAGATGTGTTTGAGGGTTCCAGGGTCTAGACCCGGCGGGAAGTCCTCGTTGTGTGTCAGGGGCAAGAGGGGGGAGGGGTACGGTGCCATATTCCCTTTCTTTGCGGCCTTCCTCCAAACTCTCATAGTGTGTCTCGTGTATATGGACATGTCACCTCTATCGGTTGTGTCTCGGCCCCAGGGAAGCCCCGAGATCGGTCTGCCTGCTTCTGCCTCTTCCACTGTCTTCCATAGTTTGTGAACTCCGTCTTTAGACCACTCCATGATTCTCTGCAGGTGTGTGGCTACGTAGTACTGGTGGAAGTCTGGAAGGGCTAGTCCCCCTTTGTCTTTAGGACGTGTCAGTGTGGAAAATTTCACTCTGGGCCTCCTCCCGTTCCATACGTATTTTATCATTTCTTTTCTGAGTGTGTTAAAGAAGGGGCCTGGTATGACAGTGGGGATGGCCTGGAAGAGGTATAAGAGGCGCGGAAGGAAGTTCATTTTTATGACCTGCACTCTCCCGAGCCACGATATGTGCGGGTAGGACCATTCCCTCAAGTCTCGTTGGAACGTGTGTAGTATAGAGGCGAAGTTGTCCCTATACAGGTCTCTGCTCTGCTTGGACAGCCATACCCCTAAGTATCTAATTTTTTGTTCGGCCCATTGAAAGGGGAAGCTGCGTCGTAGCGGGTCCGCGCGTGTGGCGGGGACGCTAACATTAAGGATGTAGGATTTGCCGTAGTTAATTTTAAGGTTAGATATAGCGCCAAATGTCCGCAGGTCTTTCTGGATGTTTGGGAGGGTGATCTCGGGGTTGGTCACCACGAAAAGTAAGTCATCCGCGTACGCCGCTACCTTGTGGTGTATTTGGCCTGTCGTCCGGCCCGTTATGTCTGGATTGTGGCGGATGTGTGTGAGGAATGGTTCCAGGGCGAGAGCGAACAGTAGCGGCGAGAGGGGACATCCCTGTCGCGTGCCGTTGTGTATGGTAAAGGTCTCAGTCAGTGCCCCGTTAACTAATACCTGGGCCGTCGGTGCTCGGTATAGCGCCTCTATCCAACGTCGAATGTTGGGACCCAGCCCCATGTGGGACAGTGTCTCGAAGAGGTAGTCCCAGCTCACTCTATCGAAGGCCTTCTCTGCGTCCGTGGACAACAAGAGGAGGCCTCCGTCCGTGCCCCCGCCTCCGTGCATAAGTGTGAGCGCTCTGATGGTGTTGTCGCGTGCCTCCCGTCCTGTCACAAATCCCACCTGGTCGGGGTGGACCAGAGACGGGATATGTTTGGTGAGTCGCACCGCCAGGATCTTGGCTAGTAGCTTAATGTCGCAGTTGATTAGCGATATTGGTCTGTAATTCCCGCAATGCTCTCTGTCTTTGCCGTCCTTGGGTATGATGGTAATATGGGCTGTCAGGGCTTGGGTAGGGATGTGGTCTCCTTCTTGTATCGCGTTAAATGCTTCCACCATGGGTGGGTAGAGATCCTCGGCGTAAGTCTTATAGTATTTTACCGGTAAGCCGTCCGGCCCCGGGCTTTTGCCCGGTTTAGTGAGTTTGACTGCTCGCGCTAATTCCTCAATGGTTATGGGTTCGTCAACCAGGTCAGCGACTTCTACGTCTAGGGTCGGTATCGGGTATTTAGTCAGGTATTCCTGAATCGAGCGGTGAAGGTGTGCCTTAGCCAGTTCAGTTGTCGGTTGTGGGAGTTCGTATAGCTCGGTGTAGTATGTACGGATCGCTCTCATGATATCAGTCGGGAGTCGGTGCAGGGACCCCTGTTTGTCTCTGATCTTGTCGATGTATGTGTGCTGTCTCTGTTTCCTCAGCATCGTAGCGAGGAGCTTACCGCTCTTGTTCCCATGTAGGGTAAAGAATGCCTTATTTCTAAGTGCCTCCCTGTGGTGTTTGGAATGCAGTATGGTCGCTAGGTCCCTTCGCAGTTGTAGGAGTCGGGTCTGGTGTGTGTGGTCTGGGTCACGTTTGTTTTGTTCGTCCGTTTTGTATATGTCATCTAATAGGGCGGTCAGTCGGGCTTCGGTTTGTTTTTTTAGTATTGCCCCTTGTTGGATATAGTGACCTCTTATCACACTTTTGTGTGCCTCCCAGCGTATCGTCGGCGATGTCTGCTCCGTCGTGTTGGTGGTAAGGTATTCTCTGATTTTATCGCCTATAAGGGTCGTGACTCCCGGGTGGGAGAGTAGGTATTCATTGAGTCTCCATTTCGGAGATGTGGGGCGAAATAGTGGTGACTTTATTTTGAGGGAGACAGGGGCATGGTCCGACCATGTGGCTGTTCCGATCTCGACGTCAGTTACCAATGAAAGGTCGTAGTGTGAGGTGTATATGTGGTCGATGCGGGAGTATGAGTTGTGCGGGTGGGAATAGAAAGTGAAGTCTCGGGCGTCTGGGTGGTGGGCCCTCCAGCAGTCGACCAGTCGGTGGTCCCGGAGTAGGGATTTGATGCCTTGCAGTTGTTGGTTGGGGATATGCGAGGTGCCCGTTGAGGTGTCCCATGACGGTTCTAATGCGACATTAAAGTCCCCCCCCAGTATGAGAGTCCCTTCTTTGAACGCCTGGAGCTTGTGGAGTGTTTGTTTGAGGAAGCGGTAGTGTCGTGTGTTTGGGGCGTATATAGTCGCGAACGTGTACTGACGGCCTGCTATTTCCCCCTTGAGGAATAGGTACCTGCCTTCATCGTCCGACAAGCAGCCCCCCTCCTGGAACGGCACCCTCTTATGGAAAAGTATTGCTGCTCCCCTAGCTTTCCCCCCGTGGTAGTCACTATAGAATCCTTGTGTGTAGTGTTGGTTTGTTAGTTTGGGTCTGGCCCCTTTCTGAAAGTGTGTTTCCTGTAACATGACTATCGAGGCCCTTTGTTTATGAAAGTCTCTCAGTGCTCCTGATCTCTTCTCTGGTTTGTTCAGTCCTTTGGCATTGATCGTGAGAATATGCAGCGGGGCGGGAGTCAGTGTCATGTCTTTTGGTCAGTCGGCTGTTGGGTGGTGCTGTATCGGTGTCGTTGTCCAAGTCCCTACTGTGTGTGTGTACCAGGTGTGGCCCGTTCGTCGCGGTCAGAGTGAGGACAAGGTGTCAAGGTTTAAGGTGGGGTAGAGAGAGGGATAAGGTATCTTGGGATTCGTGGAGATGTCCTGTGATCTCCAGTGGGTGTGTTCCGGTCTCGGGACCGTCAGGTGCAGACGTCGGGGAGTTTCAATCCACGGTGCCACCAGTGGCTCCCGTGAGTGACTCACCGTCTGAGTGACGTCTCTCCTACTGGGCAGTGGTAGGGTGTATCGGTGTCGGTCTTCCGTACGGCCAGTCGGGTCCCATGTCGCCCCTTTTTGGCTCCCGGATGCTACCTCAATGGGATGTGATGGTCTTCCCCGCCTCGGGGTGTGTTGGCTCGAGGGCCGGCGTGTGTGTTGCACAGCATGTCTGTTCAAGATATCGTAGTAAGGCATAAACCGTAACAATAACATATAGATTCAATTCACAACAGGTGATAACAAGTAGTTGACATTTCTACCATGGTGCAGGGCTGCGCTTCCACCCCCTCCCCTCCCCTCCCCCCTCTCCCTCCGTTGGGTTGCTTATCTAGCGTGAGCAAACTCGTCCCTTGTTCCTTTACTCTCTGGGTTTGGGGGCGCCCTCATGCGGGGTCAGGGCGAGGGCACTCGTGTCTCTGGATTCGTTTTAATCAATCTGGGTGTGCTCGCTCGGGTGGTCGCTTACGTGTCCGTGCCCTCCTTGTCACATGTTTAGAGCGTGTAGCTGATCTATGGGCTAGGCTGGATTGTGTGGCCTGGTTGCGACCTTACCCTCCATCCCCACCGTGTCTTATCAGCATCCCCGCCCCGGGTGTGCCCCGCCGGCGCCGTCCCCCGCCTGCTCCCCGAGGTTCATCACAGGGTAGGCGAACGGCGGCGGCCGGGCCCAGCCGGGGGGTGGCGCCCCCGGTGCTTCCCTGCCGGTGTGGCTGGACGTGTCTCTTGTGGGAGGTGTCCCTGCTGTTGTGTGGCCCAGTGGCGGCCGCTCCCGCTCCTCTCCCCTGCAACCCTTGTGTCCCCACCCCGGATGTGCCCAGCCGGCACCATCCCCCGCCTGCTCCCCGAGGTTCATCGCAGGGCGGGCGGGCGGCGGCGGCCGGACCCAGCCGGGGGGGCGGACACTCTATATTCTCCTAACCCTATAAATATGGACCAGATGTCCCTCGTTACCCTTGCATCTTGCATTATCATAAAAAGGTTAAATTAGTCCATTAGGCCACAGGGCTCCGCGTGGCCGGGCTCCTGTGTCCCAGGTACGCCCCCTGGTACTTCTCTGCTTATGTGGCTGGGTGTGTCTCCCGTGGGAGATATACTTGCGGTTCGGATGAGTTAGCGCATTGTGTCCACAGTCTCTGGATCTGGAAATCGGTTATGGAGGTGTGTGTCTGGTCCACGGATGGGTCGAGGTGAGGCCCAGGATGGAAGGTAGGTGGTGCGCAGTCCTTTATATGTTGGCGCCCGTGGGGCGCGTGGTCTGCTGTCTAGTTCTTCGTGGCCTGGTGGGCTGTTGCGACTGGCGGTGTGCTTCGGGTGAAAACTCGTAGAAGGACATCGGGTCCGGCCAGGTCAGCTGTATGTGCGGTAGTTGTAGTTCCCGGGCAATGTCCCTCATATCGCCGTCGTTCTTCACTGCGAAGGAGCCGGTGCTTGTGGTGACCTGTATGCCAGTGGGGAAGTTCCACCGATATCTGATCTTGTTGGCTTGTAGTGTGCGTGTAAAAGGGCGCAATGCCCGTCGGTACGCCAGGGTCGCTGGAGATAGGTCCGGGTATAGTTGTAGTTCCGCGCCATGATGAAGGATTTGTTGTTTCTCCCTGGCGCTCTTCAGGATGTCTTCCTTCACTTGAAAGTGTAGTAAACAGCATATCACGTCCCTTGGGGGGGACTCCGGAGGGCCTCTGGGTCTGAGGGCTCTGTGTGCCCTAACGAAATCAATAGGCGTCGTGTTCGGCCGCTGTAGGAGGGAGTTGAAGATTTCCGTGAGGGAATCTCGTATTGGGGTTGTCTGGTCAAGTTCCTCAGGCAGGCCCCGAATTCTAATATTCTGCCGCCTCCCCCTATTATCGAGGTCTTCCACGTGGAGGGCCATTTGGCGCAGTTGTAGCGTCTGCCGCTGTATTACGTTTGCGGTGGCGTTTTGTGCAGATGTCACATGGTCACAGTCTGCCTCCAACAATGCTAGCTTATGGTGTAGCCCCTGCATGTCCTCCCTCAAGGCATGGAGTTCCCCTGTTATGGACTTGTGGAGGGCAGCATTTGCCTCTTTAAGGTCAGCTTTCGTGGGTAGGTTGCTCAATAGGGATGCCCAGTCCAGCTGGGATGGGGGTAGGTCAGGTGTAAGTAGTACCTGTTCACGATGTCTGCTGCCTGGTGAGGGCGGGCGGGCCAGGCCCGAGGCCTCCGAGTCACTGGAGGCCTGAGAGACGTGATCCGCCTGGGTCAGGAGGTATTGTCTCATGCCCGGCGTCTGGGACCCCCTGGGAGTGTTGGCGGCTGCTGCCGCTTGCTGTTGCCGGTTTGTTTTGCCCATTTTGCTGTGTGTGGGGCTAGTGAGGCGGGTGATCGTGCAGAGCCTGCAGGGAGCTTCGGGTTCACGCCGCCATTCCGATCGGCGTCCAAGCCACGCCCCCGTTTTGAAAACTTTTATTTCGTCTTAAAATGCAGTTTACATGTTTCGGAAAGGATTTGTACATTAACATCATGAATGAATGTCAACATCTGCTATAACAATTTGTTCAACTGAATTTAAATAGTATTGTACCTGTGTTGATACATAAATTGTTTCCAACATTTTAGTAATTTCTTAGTAGCTTCAGGTTTGGTTTAGTTTGACTGTCAATCTGTGATTATATGAATGTATGTCGGGACTTAGTTTGGCCTAAGATCGTAAGTTCCTTGGGGATAGTTGTATTTTAATACATTTTATATTTGTGTCTATGTACTAACAGGTTTTCACCAAATGATTTTAATCTGCTTCTGAACCCTCACTTTTTTTTTTTTCTCGTGCCATTCACGTTGTTGGTTTGTTTACAGAATGTTGATTATTTTAATATAAAGAAAACAGGTGAAAAGCAGCACACTTTATTCTTGACAAAAATATACTTTTTTGGGTTGTGGATTTTTTGGAACAGGTATAAAGCATAAAGGTTTCATTTCATATGTAAGAAAACGGCAGATGTGCCAAAAAAGTATAAATGTGATTCTGACATTTTTAAATACAACCCCGGTAGTTTTTGGGGGGCAATACAGCTGATCGATGATATGCTTAACTAAGGATGGACAGAAATGTGAATTAGGGCAGCTGTAGGGGGTGGAGGGGTTAAATAGGGGTTATGTATTCGTATGTGTGCATGTGTGTTGTGTGTGTGTTTGTGTTAAAATGTGTTTATGTTTGTGCGTAAATGCATGTGTATGTATATGCGTTTGTTTATGTTTATGGTTTTGTGTGTCCCAAAGCTTCATCAAACTTTGATTTACAGTAAAAAGAAAAACAAAGGATCAAACTAACATGGACATTCGTTGATAGGAACTGAACATCTCTAAATACAAGCATTTTTATTTGAAATCACCATATTAAGGATTGAAAGAGTTCTTCTGAATTTTGTTTTTCCTGACTTATGGGTGGGTAATGGAGAATTTTTCCCTAAATAAGGCATGCGTAGATATGTTTATTAGTACGTGTGCATATATGCATGTGTCAGTATATAGACTCTGTACGTGCACTGGGTGGGTACAGGGGGCTCCCCCTCCTCCTTTTCTTTCTTTGCTGCTGGGTAAACTCATTTTGTGAGCGGCCACAGCAGATTCATCACAGACACATAGAGAGGGAGGGTGGACTTAATATATATACACGTATATATCCACACATCCTGGCAAATGTGCCTGCTGAAAAACAGGGAGGGCGGGCTCCTCTTTCTTCCTCTGAAAGTGTGTCTGTATATGGAGAAGCAAGGCTTATATAAACGTTATTTAAAAAAAAAAAAAAAAAAACTAAAAAAAAAAATATGTACAATAACCCCTGTGTTTGTAGTGAAACTGAAATAACTTTTTTATTGGTAACAATGTATTTTGCAAACTGTTTTTACTTCATATACTCCCACGTTACTGCCCCAGGGAATCATCTCAAGTGTTTACAGAATATTTTGCTATGCCTGCCATTTTAGCACTAGGCTCTAACGTGTGCATGTGACATTTCATTGTCTATTTTTACACATATTGCCACCAAATGTATTTTTTTACAAGTGCATTGGAAATGTTTTAGGAGCCATTTCCCAGTATCACTCTCTAGGGGTGATTGGCATTCCGATATTCTATTAGATTGTAAACTTATGTGCCACCTTTCATCATTATACCAATATTATGTTATGTAATCATTATGTTCCGATTCAGCCGTGTCACCATAATGACTGCCCTGGGCTGATTTGTTACCAATCCAAAAGACTGGAAACACCTTGCATGTGAGACTCCCTACTTTTGCATTAGATATATAACATTACAACTGATTGCGGAGTTGATGCCAAGTTCTGACAAATATATATATATATTGTGGTTGACATTGTGATCAGTTGCTGCATTAGGGTTATTTAATTATTTTCTTTTGCCCATGGGATCAAAAACCTAAAAAAAACAACAAGCTAAGAAAAATGCCCCCAAAACACTGAACGTTCCCCATAGAGTCGCATAGATTCAATGCATCTCTATAAGGAGATGCTGATTGGCACAGGGTGGCGTTTTGACAAGCATGCACAATACTTCCAATGCTTTCCTGTAGGAAGATTGATTACCTCAGCCAAGGAGGTGAGGCCAGCTGTGGCGAGACCAGCGCAGCGAGGGATAAAAAAGTGAATAAATCACATTTTTAGGGCATTTGGAACGGGGCAGGTCACCTTATCAGCAACACCCGCACTATAATGTTTGAATTCCTGGCGCTATAGTGTACCTTTAAGGCCCAGGACTCAGAAATGCAACCATGCAGATTACACCTACCGAGAAGCGCATTTTTATTGACTGATGGCTAAAAAAATTTAACAAATGGGTTAATAAAACCCACTAAACATCTACAATAAATTGTAATTTTTTTAGGTTTATCCAGTCTATTTTCTGATATAATATGACTTGTGTAATGTGGAATTTTAATATACATCTTATGCAAATTAATATTTAGCATTTCAATTGTGAAATCTACAAAGCAAGTGTCTCCTCCTCCAATAATTGTTATGTACTTGTACTATCCATTACTGTGGAACCCCTCTTATTTTGTGCCAAATGTGCAGGGCTATATCGTATAGATTTTTAGATACATAAAAAATAATATATACACATAAAAATAGGTACAGATCTGTCCAAACAAATGTTAGTCTTTTCTTGCAACACATTGACACATTTTATCTTTAGGTATAGGTATTTTATCGAGAAAAATCAAATACGGAGGCAAAGTTCGATAAACAACAAAAAACCTTTACCGCATGTCACCTGATGGAAACTGAATGGGAAAGAACTAACATATTGGACACATGTCTATGTTGTAATAATTACCTATATTAGTTATTTAGTAGAGTTATGTTCCATTGTAGAGACTTACAATAAACAACATTAAGTGTCCAATTTTGCTATTTCCCCTCTGCTAAATAATTCCTATTTTCATTTTTGATCATTTGGACTGGATACGTTCTTTAAGTTTTGGATTTTGACTACATGGCTAAAGGTTGGCAGGATTTTTTTGCAGAAATGTGGAAATACTCTAAGAAAGTAAATATCCCAAAAGGGTAAACAGGAATCCCTTCCCCTACGCCTGAAATGTACACATTCAGAAACTGCTTATATTTTGTATTTAAACTTCACAAACAGTGCAGCGGTCATTAATATATTAGCCCTTTTTGCTAGTGATCATCTTACCTTGAGAAGAAGCTGACTCATATGGTCTCTTGGAAATGTACAATAATTATTGATTTACCTGTCCTGAAGCAAGTTGTTGCTGCTTCCATAGAAGAGGTAGAATAACTTAATGGAAAGCAATTATTATTTAAATTATTCTACTATGGATTTGGTGGGATAGCTTCAATTTGGGACACCATCTCACTGTACAAAAAGAGTAGAGTTGGTTCCTGAACTGACACCCTCTGATGAGTTGAAGCACAAACTCACAACGTCACCACCTATAATGGGAACTTCAACACCACTTTGTGCATGTACAACATTATAAGAAACTAACCAATATTGCTGCTGTCAGCCTGTCATGCATGTATGCCAGGCTGACCACCCCATTATTGGTAGGGCCTGCAAACCACCACATCCAGTCCACGTCCAATCCTGTCATACTTTCCAATATTGAGATGTTCATCTGCCCAGAGAAAGACAGCTTTGGTCTTTGGTGAAACACAAGACAAATGGTTGAACATGACGTTTCAGATTCATAGTGTTTTCTTGATCAAATGGTATACAACAGAAGGTGCTTGCTACATTTTAAAGATTCACTTCCTCTCTCTTTTTCATAGCTAAATCTGTGGAGGGATCCTCCACCAATATCCTAGTGTTTAGCTATCACTCTAGCTGACGAGGCTCAAAGAAGGCCAAAATGATCATCTGGCGTTGCTGAGGGAACTTGTTTCTTTAGCTAATCAATTCTTGCTGTATCTTCATAAATACATTGTTTCTGAGAGGTAACTATAGGTTCAACCATTTACTGTACCAAAATGTGACAATGACTTGTCATTTCTGCTACAACTTAAGAAAACCTACTTGTATCATACTGTTACAAATGAACAGCGATGAATATAGATATTGGAACATCTCCTACTGCTTGCTCAAACTATTTCAACATTTCTATTTTACTCAATTTCTTGAAGGTAACATACTGAGAGTTCATCTCCTAGATTTAGATTGGATTTTCATTTTCTTATTATTATGGTCAAATAAGAGAGAGATGTGAATTTTTTTGGGCCATGAGTGCCTTTGATATCATGTCCTCTAAAACGAAAAATTTTTAGGATACAAAAAAACTCATAGCTTAACCCTGTGTTGTCATTACTAATAAAAAATGTCAAACATATTCTGGGCTATTGATGTCACTCAAATGAATTCTAAGGCTGGTGAGAGATAAATATACGGCATATTCAGATATTCAGATATACAATAAGTAAAATGCAGTTTCAGATAAGCAGTAAATATAAGAATGAAAGAACAAATGGAATCATTCAGTCTCACAGTTTTGTAAATACAACCCCTAGTGGTGAAAATTAACAGTAACAAGGTGTGCAAGTGTGACTAGGCCCAAAGTCCAAAAGGCTAAAAAGAGGCTTCATGTGTCTTCCTTTTTGTGTCTACAGCTGTGATGGGCATTCACTGTCATTCTAGATTTTAGTTACATCTTCCATGATCCTTTCTGCCGACAGAGCTTTATGGAACATTCCACAATCTCTGGCGTGATATAGGCTGCCTAATGGATGAGAGCATTGAGAAGTCCCTGCTTTTTCTCATTTCTGGTTCCTCCTGCGCATTGCTGATGAACATTGCCCTCAGTAAGGGTGCCTCCAAGGAGCCAAAATAAAGAAGAAAGTGAGTCTTACATGTAGATCTCATATCTCCTTTCCACCAGTAATGACTTACTGCCAGGATACAACGAATCTTCCCTACCAAAATAGGTAGCGGAATGCAGCGAGAAAAAAAAAAAGCTACCACCTCGAAAAAATATACACATATTGTGCACTCCAGTACTTATTGTGTTATTTCTTGTGTGCATACCAAAGAATATAAGTATCGGTGGCATCTAAGTTTCACCATAACTTAGTATTTTTCATCTATCACTGATTCCATACTTCTACAGCCATTAGTAATCCTATGCTTAATACAGGTTGTCCTAGCTAGTAACGCACTAATCACAGTACACATGGGTACACTATATTTATGGACCTCCGTCCTCAGTTCATTTGCCCACAACCCCCATCCCACCACATGACCTACCATTGGATCTGGGGATATTTATATTACCAGGTAATATTACATAGTCCAAGGTCATTAACTCCTATAAATATTCCATTTTATCGTTCACCCCTTTTCCAAAATTCGTATTTTCCTTTCTAAATTCCCTGTTCAACATTTCCCTCTCATTTCCTCATTATGTTTGGATTTTTTGTTGGCATTCTTTTAATTTTGTTGCCTTGTCTACTCCAGCTCTCATTCCTAATTTTTAGTTTTTGCTTTTATTTTTGTCATCCTGCTCATTTTTCGCTCTATATTTTTATTTTTCCTTCTACTTCGATTTCGCTCTCTCTCCCCTCATTTTTTTTTCCTCTTCTCCATCCCCCTCTACTCCCTCCCTTTTCTCCAGCTCGCTTTCCCTTGGCACAAAGTCAAAACACAAGTTAGATTAGTTAACTTCGGGCCTGAAATGTGCCTCATCTTTCCCTATTTTTATCTTTGACCCCGTTTCACATAGGAACCCCAAAATTGGTTTTATGACTCATCTCCCACTGTACTATACCCCCAAATTTTTGGGGATTTTTCTGTCGATTTTAACACATTTGATTTAAGTGTAGAAAGTTGCGCGGGGGGAGAGGAGAGAGCTTTCTGCTGAGTGGGACAGAAAGGAGAGAGATCTCGCTTTGGATGCAACTTCACTTCAGAGGGCAAGGGGTTTGGGGGAGACGCCCTAATTCTACTCCAAGAGTGGAAATCCTTAAATATTAGGGTGCATTGGACTCTATGGGAGGAGGCATGGGTACCTCTACCATGTCTTTAAGAGAGAGGATGCGCAGAGGGAGAGTGGGGGGGGAGAGCCAAGCTGATTGTGACCGTTCTACAAACTAATTATACACCTGATGGGTGTACAGAGGTAAGTGGGCAAAAATTTGGAAGGAGGATGGAGGATAAAGAGCAGACAGAATGACGAGGCAAGACTTAGAGGACTAAAAGGACAAGAGGGAGGGGGGAACCAGTGAAAGAAAGGCATACGAAGGATTGAGATTTGGGGTTACATTCTCCTTTGTTCTATTGTTTCTCGATTTTTGACCCCCTCTTTTCTGTTTTCGTTTACTGCCCCCTTTCTAACTGTAAGTGTGCATGCGTGTGTGATAGAGAGTTTGGGCCAGTGAGCTTACAATCGAAATTTATCTACTTAGGTATCATTTTAGAAAATTTGGATCCTGCGCAAAACACTAGAAAGAAGCCCCACCCGTCCCTTGCTTTGCCTCCACATTGCCCCTATGCCACATGTACAATTTGCTCTATAGCAACGCCCATCTCTCTATAACACACAATGACTGGCAATACCCACTGCTGTATAGTAATTATCTGACAATGGCAGTGTCCATCTCTCCATAATTTTATTTTACAAAAATTATAAACAAATTAATTTACATTACAAATTGCTGGTGAAAAAAAATAAATACAAAGAAGAACAAAGAAGGCAGGGAAGCTCGGTGCATCTAGTCAGACACTGGCAGGTTAGAGCAAAACAAAGACATTGGGATTATTAGCAGTTTATCAAGAGTGAATACTAACAGTCCCTTTGTTTGTAATGTATATATCGGAGCCTGTGCTTATCCCTCTATAGCACTCATACGAGAAGCTTCCACCTCTCTATAGCACTCATACGAGAAGCTCCCACCTCTCTATAGCACTCATACTAGAAGCTCCCACCTCTCTATAGCACTCATACTAGAAGCTCCCACCTCTCTATAGCACTCATACGAGAAGCTTCCACCTCTCTATAGCACTCATACGAGAAGCTTCCACCTCTCTATAGCACTCATACTAGAAGCTTCCACCTCTCTATAGCACTCATACGAGAAGCTTCCACCTCTCTATAACACTCATACTAGAAGCTTCCACCTCTCTATAGCACTCATACGAGAAGCTTCCACCTCTCTATAGCACTCATACGAGAAGCTTCCACCTCTCTATAGCACTCAAACCAAAAGCTTGCGTCTCTCTATGGCACTCATGGACAGCTCCTGATTTTTTATAGCACTGTAATGTGGGCAATTTCAATCTCTCTTTACCAAAGTAATAAAAATTCAATTTCTCTATACCACTCATACTGTCTGTTCCCATCTCTCTATATTACACTAATACGGACAGCCTCCATATCTCTATTTACACGAATAGGACAGCCTCCATCTCTCTATATTACACTAATATGGACAGCTTCTATCTCTCTATATTACACTAATACAGACAGTCTCCGTCTCTCTATATTACACTAATATAGGCAGCCTCCATCTCTCTATATTACACTAATATGGACAGCCTCCATCTCTCTATATTACACTAATATGGACAGCTTCCATCTCTCTATATTCCACTGATATAGAGTCTAGACAGTCTCCATCACTCTTTATTAAACTCATATGGACAGCTTCCATCTCTCTATATTACACTAATGTGGACAGGCTCCATCTCTATATATTACACTAATACGGACAGCCTCCATCTCGCTATATTACACTAACATGGACAGTCTCCATCACTCTATATAACACTCATATGGAAAGCCTCCATCTCTCTATATTACACTAATACGGACAGCCTCCATCTCTCTATATTACACTAATACGGACAACCTCCATCTCTCTATATTACACTGATATGAACAGCCTCCATCTCTCTATATTACACTAATATGGAAAGCCTCCATCTCTCTATATTACACTAATATGGAAAGCCTCCATCTCTCTATATTACACTAATATGGAAAGCCTCCATCTCTCTATATTACACTAATACGGACAGCCTCCATCTCTCTATATTACACTAATATGGAAAGCCTCCATCTCTCTATATTACACTAATACGGACAGCCTCCATCTCTCTATATTACACTAATACGCACAGCCTCCATCTCACTATATTACACTACTACGGACAGCTTTCATCTCTCTATATTAGACTGATATGGACAGACCCCATCTCTCTATATTACACTGATATGGACAGCCTCCATCTCTCTATATTAGACTAATATGTACAGCCTCCATATCTCTATATTACACTAATACGGACAGCTCCCATATCTCTATAGTACACTAATATGGACAGTTTCTATCTCTCTATATTACACTAATAAGGACAGCTTACAGCTCTCTATATTACACTAATACGGACAGCTTTAATTTCTCTTTATTACACTAATACAGACAGCCTCCATCTCTCTATATTACACTAATACGGACAGCCTACATCTCTCTATATTACACTAATACGGACAGCCTATATCTCTCTATATTACACTGATATGGACAGACCCCATCTCTCTATATTACACTAATATGGACAGCCTCCATCTCTCTATATTATACAAATATAGACAGCTCATATATCTCTATATTACACTGATATAGAGTCTAGACAGTCTCCATCACTCTTTATTAAACTCATATGGACAGCTTCCATCTCTCTATATTACACTAATGTGGACAGGCTCCATCTCTATATATTACACTAATACGGACAGCCTCCATCTCGCTATATTACACTAACATGGACAGTCTCCATCTCTCTATATTACACTAATAAGGAGAGCCTAGATCTCTCTATATTACACTAATATAGAAAGCCTCCGATTCTCTATATTACACTAATATGGACAGCCTCCATCACTCTATATTACACTCATATGGACAGCTTCCATCTCTCTATATTACACTAATAATGAGTGCCTTCATCTCTCTATATTACACTAATATGGACAGCCTCTATCTCTCTATATTACACTAATATGGACAATCTCCATCACTCTATATTACACTAATATGGACAGCCTATATCTCTCTATATTACACTAATATGGACAGCTTCCATCTCTCTATATAACACTAATATGGACAGCCTCCATCTCTCTATATTATACAAATATAGACAGCTCATATCTCTCTATATTACACTAATACGGACAGCCTATATCTCTCTATATTACACTAATACGGACAGCCTATATCTATCTATATTACACTGATATGGACAGCCCCCGTCTCTTTATATTACACTAATATAGACAGCCTATATCTCTCTATATTACACTAACATGGACAGCCTCCACCTCTCTATATTACACAAATATAGACAGCTCATATCTCTCTATATTACACTAATACGGACAACCTCCATCTCTCTATATTACACTAATACGGACAGCTTTCATCTCTCTATATTACGCTAATAAAGACAGCCTCCATCTCTCTATATTACACTGATATGGACAGCCCCCATCTCTCTATATTAAACTAATATGGACAGCTCTCATCTCTTTATATTACACTAATTCAGACAGCCTCCATCTCTCTATATTACACTAATATGGACAGCTTTCATCTCTCTATATTAGACTGATATGGACAGCCCCCATCTCTCTATATTACACTGATATGGACAGCCCCCATCTCTTTATATTACACTAATACTGACAGCCTCCATCTCTCTATATTACACTAATACGGACAACCTCCATCTCTCTATATTACACTGATATGAACAGCCTCCATCTCTCTATATTACACTAATATGGAAAGCCTCCATCTCTCTATATTACACTAATATGGAAAGCCTCCATCTCTATATTACACTAATACGGACAGCCTCAATCTCTCTATATTACACTGATATAGACAGTCTCCATCACTCTTTATTACACTCATATGTACAGCTTCCATATCTCTATATTACACTAATACGCACAGCCTCCATCTCACTATATTACACTACTATGGACAGCTTTCATCTCTCTATATTAGACTGATATGGACAGACCCCATCTCTCTATATTACACTGATATGGACAGCCTCCATCTCTCTATATTAGACTAATATGTACAGCCTCCATATCTCTATATTACACTAATACGGACAGCTCCCATATCTCTATAGTACACTAATATGGACAGTTTCTATCTCTCTATATTACACTAATAAGGACAGCTTACAGCTCTCTATATTACACTAATACGGACAGCTTTAATTTCTCTTTATTACACTAATACAGACAGCCTCCATCTCTCTATATTACACTAATACGGACAGCCTATATCTCTCTATATTACACTAATACGGACAGCCTACATCTCTCTATATTACACTAATACGGACAGCCTATATCTCTCTATATTACACGGATATGGACAGACCCCATCTCTCTATATTACACTAATATGGACAGCCTCCATCTCTCTATATTATACAAATATAGACAGCTCATATCTCTCTATATTACACTGATATGGACAGACCCCATCTCTCAATATTACACTAATATGGACAGCCTCCATCTCTCTATATTATACAAATATAGACAGCTCATATCTCTCTATATTACACTAATACGGACAGCCTATATCTCTCTATATTACACTAATACGGACAGCCTATATTTCTCTATATTACACTGATATGGACAGCCTCCATCTCTCTATATTACACTAATATAGACAGCCTATATCTCTCTATATTACACTAATACGGACAGCCCCCATCTCTCTATATTACACTAATATGGACAGCCCCCATCTCTCTATATTACACTAATATGGACAGCCCCTATCTCTCTATATAACACTAATACGGACAGCCTATATCTCTCTATATTACACTAATACGGACAGCCTATATCTCTCTATATTACACTAATATGGACAGCCTATATCTCTCTATATTACACTAATATGGACAGCCTCCATCTCTCTATATTACACTAATACGGACAGCCCCCATCTCTCTATATTACACTAATACGGACAGCCCCCATCTCTCTATATTACACTAATACGGACAGCCCCTATCTCTCTATATAACACTAATACGGACAGCCTATATCTCTCTATATTACACTAATACGGACAGCCTCCATCTCTCTATATTACACTAATACGGACAGCCCCTATCTCTCTATATTACACTAATACGGACAGCCTCCATCTCTCTATATTACACTAATACGGACAGCCCCTATCTCTCTATATTACACTAATACGGACAGCCTCCATCTCTCTATATTACACTAATACGGACAGCCTCCATCTCTCTATATTACACTAATACAGACAGCCTCCATCTCTCTATATTACACTGATATAGACAGTCTCCATCACTCTTTATTACACTCATATGGACAGCTTCCATCTCTCTATATTACACTGATATGGACAGCCTCCATCTCTCTATATTACACTGATACGGACCGCCTCCATCTCTCTATATTACACTAATACTGACAACCTACATCTCTCTATATTACACTAATATGGAAAGCCTCCATCTCTCTATATTACACTAATACGGACATCCTCCATCTCTCTATATTACAACATGGACAGCCTCCATCTCTCTATAATACACTAAAATGGACAGCTCCCATCTCTCTCTGGCAATGATCGACTTCGATCTTACTATAGCACACAAATACTAGCAGTTCTGATCTCTCTATTACACATTCACACCTATGGTACATATAGACAGCCTGAATCTCTCCCTATAGCAATCATATCATACTGGCTGCTCTATTCTCTCTATAGCACGGTAATCGTACCAGTTCCTATCTCTCTCTCTAACACACTAATCCTACCAGTTCCAATCTCACTATAACACGGCAATAATACCAGCTCCCATCTCTCTATAACACAGCAATAAGACCAGCTCCCATCTCTCTATAACACGGCAATAATACCAGCTCCCATCTCTCTATAACACGGCAATAAGGCCAGCTCCCATCTCTCTATAACACGGCAATAAGGCCAGCTCCCATCTCTCTATAACACGGCAATAAGCCAGCTCCCATCTCTCTATAACACGGCAATAAGACCAGCTCCCATCTCTCTATAACACGGCAATAAGACCAGCTCCCATCTCTCTAAGGCCAGCTCCCATCTCTCTATACACAGCAATAAGACCAGCTCCCATCTCTCTATAGCACAGCAATAATACCAGCTCCCATCTCTCTATAACACGGCAATAAGGCCAGCTCCCATCTCTCTACGGCAATAATACCAGCTCCCATCTCTCTATAACACGGCAATAAGACCAGCTCCCATCTCTCTATAACACGGCAATAAGGCCAGCTCCCATCTCTCTATAACACGGCAATAAGGCCAGCTCCCATCTCTCTATAACACGGCAATAAGACCAGCTCCCATCTCTCTATAACACGGCAATAAGACCAGCTCCCATCTCTCTATAACACGGCAATAAGACCAGCTCCCATCTCTATATAACACGGCAATAAGCCAGCTCCCATCTCTCTATAACACAGCAATAAGGCCAGCTCCCATCTCTCTATAACACAGCAATAAGGCCAGCTCCCATCTCTTTATAACACAGCAATAAGGCCAGCTCCCATCTCTCTATAACACAGCAATAAGACCAGCTCCCATCTCTCTATAACACTGCAATAAGGCCAGCTCCCATCTCACTATAACACGGCAATAAGACCAGCTCCCATCTCTCTATAACACAGCAATAAGGCCAGCTCCCATCTCTCTATAACACGGCAATAAGGCCAGCTCCCATCTCTCTATAACACAGCAATAAGGCCAGCTCCCATCTCTCTATAACACAGCAATAAGGCCAGCTCCCATCTCTCTATAACACAGCAATAAGACCAGCTCCCATCTCTCTTTATATAACACTGCAATAAGGCCAGCTCCCATCTCTTTATAACACGGCAATAAGACCAGCTCCCATCTCTCTATAACACGGCAATAAGGCCAGCTCCCATCTCTCTATAACACGGCAATAAGGCCAGCTCCCATCTCTCTATAACACAGCAATAAGGCCAGCTCCCATCTCTCTATAACACGGCAATAAGACCAGCTCCCATCTCTCTATAACACGGGCAATAATACCAGCTCCCATCTCTCTATAACACGGCAATAAGACCAGCTCCCATCTCTCTATAACACGGCAATAAGGCCAGCTCCCATCTCTCTATAACACGGCAATAAGGCCAGCTCCCATCTCTCTATAACACGGCAATAAGGCCAGTTCCCATCTCTCTATAACACGGCAATAATATCAGCTCCCATCTCTCTATAACACAGCAATAAGGCCAGCTCCCATCTCTCTATAACACGGCAATAAGGCCAGCTCCCATCTCTATAACACGGCAATAATACCAGCTCCCATCTCTCTATAACACGGCAATAATATCAGCTCCCATCTCACTATAACACAGCAATAAGGCCAGCTCCCATCTCTCTATAACACGGCAATAAGGCCAGCTCCCATCTCTCTATAACACGGCAATAAGGCCAGCTCCCATCTCTCTATAACACAGCAATAAGGCCAGCTCCCATCTCTCTATAGCACAGCAATAATACCAGCTCCCATCTCTCTATAACACGGCAATAAGGCCAGCTCCCATCTCTCTATAACACGGCAATAAGGCCAGCTCCCATCTCTCTATAACACAGCAATAAGGCCAGCTCCCATCTCTCTATAGCACAGCAATAATATCAGCTCTCTCTTTATAACATGGCAATAAGGCCAGCTCCCATCTCACTATAACACGGCAATAAGACCAGCTCCCATCTCACTATAACACGGCAATAAGGCCAGCTCCCATCTCACTATAACACAGCAATAAGACCAGCTCCCATCTCACTATAACACGGCAATAAGACCAGCTCCCATCTCACTATAACACGGCAATAAGACCAGCTCCCATCTCTCTATAACACGGCAATAAGGCCAGCTCCCATCTCACTATAACACAGCAATAAGGCCAGCTCCCATCTCACTATAACACAGCAATAAGGCCAGCTCCCATCTCTCTATAACACGGCAATAAGGCCAGCTCCCATCTCACTATAACACGGCAATAAGGCCAGCTCCCATCTCTTTATAACACAGCAATAAGGCCAGCTCCCATCTCTCTATAACACAGCAATAAGACCAGCTCCCATCTCTCTATAACACGGCAATAAGGCCAGCTCCCATCTCTTTATAACACGGCAATAAGACCAGCTCCCATCTCTCTATAACACGGCAATAAGACCAGCTCCCATCTCTCTATAACACGGCAATAAGGCCAGCTCCCATCTCTCTATAACACAGCAATAAGGCCAGCTCCCATCTCTTTATAACACAGCAATAAGGCCAGCTCCCATCTCTCTATAACACAGCAATAAGACCAGCTCCCATCTCTCTATAACACTGCAATAAGGCCAGCTCCCATCTCTTTATAACACGGCAATAAGACCAGCTCCCATCTCTCTATAACACGGCAATAAGGCCAGCTCCCATCTCTCTATAACACGGCAATAAGGCCAGCTCCCATCTCTCTATAACACAGCAATAAGGCCAGCTCCCATCTCTCTATAGCACAGCAATAAGACCAGCTCCCATCTCTCTATAACACAGCAATAAGGTCAGCTCCCATCTCTCTATAGCACAGCAATAAGACCAGCTCCCATCTCTCTATAACACGGCAATAAGACCAGCTCCCATCTCTCTATAACACAGCAATAAGACCAGCTCCCATCTCTCTATAATACGGCAATAAGACCAGCTCCCATCTCTCTATAACACGGCAATAAGACCAGCTCCCATCTCTCTATAACACGGCAATAAGGCCAGTTCCCATCTCTCTATAACACGGCAATAAGACCAGCTCCCATCTCTTTATATCACGGCAATAATACCAGCTCCCATCTCACTATAACACAGCAATAAGGCCAGCTCCAATCTCTCTATAACACGGCAATAAGGCCAGCTCCCATCTCTCTATAACACGGCAATAATACCAGCTCCCATCTCTCTATAACACGGCAATAAGGCCAGCTCCCATCTCTCTATAACACGGCAATAAGGCCAGCTCCCATCTCTTTATATCACGGCAATAATACCAGCTCCCATCTCACTATAACACGGCAATAAGGCCAGCTCCCATCTCTCTATAACACAGCAATAAGGCCACACACACACACAATGTAACATATCCATCTACACACACAATTCCACAAGCAGCCACCATACACAGCCCACATTCATAGGTATCATACACGATACCACAAACTATTCAAGAACATATACAATGTAATGGCTAATATACACACAAATACAACAATACCAAGCAACTGCTGTATAATTAACACAAGCAGAATACAGCAACATACACACCTCAATTTAAAATAAAATAGGACTGGCACGCTACGCGACATCACAATCCTATTTCGGCACAGTGCTGCGAAAAGGTTGCCTACCCCTGCTATATAGCATACTCACATCTTAGTATTGTATCAATACTGCCTATCTATACTTACAGGGAATGGCTTCATACTATGCTATTACTGCAAGGCACATCTTATTATAGCAGCTCACAGACATCTCTCTACTGCAACACATACATTAACAGTGCCCATCTTACAACTCACATATACTGTCTGTGGAAATCACAATATTGACATTACATTTCTTTAACAACAGATATTGACCCATCTCTCTATAGCAGCACACAGATATTGACAATGACAATCAATCCATTGCAGAACATCTACATCAGCATTTCACATCTCAACAACAGCACACATGATTTGAGAGCGCCGATCTCTTCTTTGACGGAGACTGATATCAGCAGTGCCCATCATTCTATCACCACACATGGATATCGTTAGTGCCCATCATTCTATCGCCACACATGGATATCAGCAGTGCCCATGATTCTATCGCCACACGTGGATATCAGCAGTGCCCATCATTCTATCGCCACATGCGGATATCGGCAGTGCCCTTCAATCTAACGCAGTACGCGGATATCGGCAGTGCCCATCATTCTATCCCCACACGCAGATATCGGCAGTGCCCATCATTCTATTGCAGCATGCAGATATCGGCAGTGCCCATCATTGTATCGCAGTATGCAGATATCGGCAGTGCCCATCATTGTATCACAGCATGCGGTTATATTGGCAATGCCCATCATTCTGCCGCAGCATGCTGATATCGGCATTGCCCATCATGCAACTGCAGCACGCAGATATTGGCAGTGCCCATCATTCTATCGCAGCACACGAATATTGGCAGTGCCCATCATTCTGCCACAACATGTGGATATCGGCATGCCCTTCTCTCTGTAGCAGCACACAGATATTGGCAGTGGCATTGTGCTTACAGTTGCCAGTTCTGTTTGTGCTGCTTCAGGGTGTAGGGGAAATTCAACAATCAAAAAGCAAAGAGCATGAAATATTGTTTTGTTCCAACACTTTAATGTTTTATTTAAAAAAGATGAAAAGTATTGTCTATAACGTCCATCATGTAATTGCTGGTCACAAAGTCTTTGTCCTTCTACAAGTCATTTGCAGGTATCTCCAGACTTAAAACCGGAACACGAATGCTACATGAGCTTACAGGGGTTGGTCGAAGGTCTATGTACACAAGGGGTCACAAGTCGCAATGCATCAACGAGATAAGAGAGGAAGGTCACTGGAGTTCATTATAAAACTGGAGTCCAAATTTAGATTATCTGGAAAAGGAAAAAATAAAGAAGATTGAAAGACGTAAGGCTAGTGTAAGTGCCATGGGATAGTAAAAGACACAAAAGAGGAAAGTGGGCGACTGAAAGAGTAAAACAAAATGTGCTTTGAAGAATTCATAAGAAAAATGTGTAGAAATGAAAAGGAGATGGACCAAGTGAGGAATTTGAGGGACAGAAAAAGTTGATAGGTGGGAGAGAGAGTGAGGAAGGAGGGGTGGAACAAAGAGAAATACATGGATGAGATGGAGAAAGATGCAGATGGTTGGGACTAAGAGTTGATGGCTGGTATAGAAGTATATGGTTTTAAAGAAGAAAAAACAAAGGTTGGAGCAGATATAAATTTAGATGGATGAAAATAAAATGTATAGGCAATATGGATAAACTGCTGTAGCTTAGGAAAGAAGTAGGGACACATAGAAAGAGTCTTTATGAGACAAATGTTGGCAAAAAAACTGGAGTAACAGAAAACAGGACATAAAAAAAGAGAACTTTATAAAGAATTCATAACGAAAAAAAACAAAAAAAAAACGATTGTCCAAAAAATAAATAAATAAATTGGGCAAACATCTGACAGATTTCGCACCCTGGTCAAAGTTGAGTTTTTTCACGGTGCTCCGGTCTCCCAATCCTTCGATATCCACGAGGTCACTGTTGGCGTCTGAGTCATTAAGAGCACTAAGAGTTACATCTGCTGGAACGAGAGTAAGTAGAAGGAGGTGTTACGATAGAGTAATACAGAGTTCATCACACATGCACCAGACCCATCCTGTCAGTGTTCCACTCTCTCCCTTTTCGTCACAATTCTCTCACCAGATGACTTGCGCTTTTTCAAGGCACCCTGTGATCCTTCAGGAAGAGTTGTGCCACTTACAACCTGCGGTGCAGAGACGGCGATGACGGCTGGGACAGAAGAGGACACAGGGACCACCTTCTTTACTAGCTTCCTCGGGGACTCGCTAGATAAAGGAACTCCGCTATCATCATAAATCTTTCGCTTCACAGCAAACTTGATTTGAGCACTAGAGGAGGGGAAACAAAGTACAAGGTGAATGAGGAGACAATCTTCTTGAGAGAATTCACGGTCGTTTAAATAAAAATGTTTAATTAAAGTAGTTGAAAACTAGAGTTATTTTACTGATGTTTTAACATACATCCTTTAGGTCAGTTTGAACAAAATACTAGCATCCAGCTGTTGAAGCTCAAGGGAACTGCATACAGCAGTTTGAGGGGAGCAAAAGATTTATAACTGCTTTCTGGAGTCAAAAGAAATTAGGTCAAGGAGTAAAGAGAGATTAGGTCGAGGAGTAAAGGGAGATTAGGTCAAGGAGTAAAGGGAGATTAGGTCAAGGAGTAAAGGGAGATTAGGTCAAGGAATAAAGAGAGATTAGGTCCAGGAAGAAAGGCAGATTAGGTCAAGGAATAAAGAGAGATTAGGTCAAGGAATAAAGAGAGATTAGGTCAAGGAATAAAGAGAGATTAGGTCCAGGAAGAAAGGCAGATTAGGTCAAGGAATAAAGAGAGATTAGGTCAAGGAATAAAGAGAGATTAGGTCAAGGAATAAAGAGAGATTAGGTCCAGGAAGAAAGGCAGATTAGGTCAAGGAATAAAGAGAGATTAGGTCAAGGAATAAAGAGAGATTAGGTCAAGGAATAAAGAGAGATTAGGTCCAGGAAGAAAGGCAGATTAGGTCAAGGAATAAAGAGAGATTAGGTCAGGAAGAAAGGCAGATTAGGTCAAGGAATAAAGAGAGATTAGGTCAAGGAATAAGGAGAGATTAGGTCAAGGAATAAAGAGAGATTAGGTCAAGGGATAAAGAGAAATTAGGTCAAGGAAGAAAGAGAGATTAGGTCAAGGAAGAAAGAACGATGAGGGGGCAGAGATGAAGGATGAGAAGGAAGTAAGAAAGAGGAGAAACAGAGGAGGACCAAAGTCCCATTTTCCTTTATTACTGACAATCTCTCTTACCAACCTCCTTCCCTTTCAAGCTCTAATTCTTGAACTCTCCCCTCCTCTCACACCCCTGGCTCATTCCCTTTCCTTACACTGTCCTCTCCTTGATAACTGAGCTGATCTGATTTAAGTCTTCCCCGAAGCGTCTGACGGCCGCATGTAACATCTGAATCTCTGTGTCTGTCCAGCGAGCCCTGGGAAGACACAACAGGAAGGCAGGTATGAGGCATGAGACAGGACAAAATGCTGCGGTGGGGTCAGTTGAGGACATTTTAGAAATAAGGGGTAATTGACTGATCCAAAATTGTATAGACTAAGGGAATTACAAATTTTAGGTTAAAATAGATACATTGAACAATGTCACTAATTCAGCTATGTTGGCCTGAAGTGTATTAATTCCTTAGCAATTCTCCACAATTCCGAGTTTAGTGAATAAGAGCCATTATGGAAGGAGGTGTAAGGGAATAAGTCATTGAAAGGCTATAAACAATTTTTAAAAGGAAGTTCATATAGCTCCACCGAGATCCTGTCTAAGCTCTGCCTAGGCACCAAAATGACTTGTCCTAATGAAGGGATTTTGTAGCTTACATACGGCCACTGCAGCCTGAGAAACTTCACTGTCTACATATTGCAATTCCCAAGTTTATTAGCGAGTGTCCTTCAGATTCAGCTATTTGACATCCAGTGTTAGCATGCAAGGTATGCTAATGCAGGATGTATCCAATGCTTCTCAAAGAGAGTCACTGGATTCAGAGAGAAGCACTGGACTGGCAGAATGTGGCTATAGCTGCGCATCACTGTTTGTTCTCCGCCATTTCCCATGAGAAGACTCTGATAGGACAAAAGTCATCAGGATTGATGAGTTCAGAGGAGGACTGGGCTGCAGTGAGGAAACTGTCCGAAAGCTGGAATAAATATATGTTTTATGTTTAACAAAGGGGATGAGTATATTTAATTGGTACACTGAAAAAGGGGGTTAACCCCAGATTTAAACGATATACGTGGAAGAGAGGTACTGTACCAAAAAGGGGAGCTGGGATTGGGATCAAATACCAAATAGGTATTTATTGATCCAGACTAGGAAGATAAAAATAAATAAATACATTTTATTGAAAAGCGTTAATTAAAATTGCCCAGGGTAAAGGCAAATCACGTAGTGCTCTTGTACTGTGATTAACACAAAAGTGAAACTATGAAAGTGGGAAAGCAAATAAATGAATACAATAGTGTATCCATATATCAGCAAGTATAGTAACTCAGTACGCAATATAATAGATGAATACAATCGTACTACTTATTTCGGGAACAAGGTTAAGAGTATCAACTAAAGACAAGGATATAGGTCTATGCACACGTCTGTGCCAAGAGATATTCCAAAAAACTGTCTCAATAAGGTGATATAATGTGTGTGACGGACCAACTGGCACCCCGACCGAGTACCTCCGTCAATCGATGCTTCCTAGTCCTTATGAGCACCATATGCACTACAACACCATAACCACCGTAAAGTCCACAAACCACCGCAGCTTGGTTGGGGTCTTGCTGTCCTCCACCCACATTGGACCCAAGACCAGGATCCAGTTTAGAGTGGGTAGACTTCTCCTTGTCCAGAGAGCTAAGCAGGCTGGTCTTATAAGAACAAGTGATTATACTAAAGGGAGTATAGTGATTATAGCAACCCCCAGAGTGTGAATAGCGGCCACCCAGACGAACACTTAGAACAGTGCGGTGGAAATTGCTACAAAGTAGCAATTAGGCTTAACGAGCTCCAGGATGGTCTCCGGTTCGTGCGGCTGTTTGGTTCCCAAACCAATTATAAAATTCCACGAACCAAGTCTGTTCACATAGTTTTTTTTAAATGGTACAACATTGTGTGGACGTTTTATTAGTGGTCTGGGTGCAGTGTCCCTGTTCCCCTGAGACCGGCAAAGTTTCAGAGAAACCGCAATGTTTATATTGCAGGGTTAAGACATCCTCTAGTGGCGGTCTACCAGACTGCCACTGGAAGCGCTTTCTGCTGTTTCACAGAGTTTAAGTCCATAAAACGATGCTGGACGCCATAATGCTTTGAATGAGGACGTCAAGTAGCCTTAAAGGGAAACTCCAGTGCCAGGAAAACAATCCCTTTTACCTGGCACTGCAGGTCCCCTCTCCCTCCCACCCCACAATCCCTGATTGCTGAAGGGGTGAAAACCCCTTCAGTCACTTACCAGAGGCAGCGATGATGTCCCACGTCGCTGCTTCTTCCTCCGCGCTGCTCCTCCTAGTGATTGCGTGTGCCGGTGGGCGAGACTGATCCCGCCCACCGGCCGGGGAGACCTAATGCGCATGCACGGCAATGCCGCACATGCCCATTGGAGCTCCCCACAGGAAAGCATTGAAAATGCTTTTCAATGCTTTCTTATGGGTAAATGAGCGACGCTGGAGGTCCTCACACAGCGGGAGGACGTCCAGAGACGCTCTAGCAAAGGTTTCCTGTGCTAGAAACCCGGAAGTGCCCTCTAGTGGCTGTCTAGTGGACCGCCACTAGAGGTGAAGTTAACCCTGCAAGGTAATTATTGCAGTTTATAAGAAAACTGCAATAATTACACTTGCAGGGTTAAGAGTAGTGGGAGTTGGCACCCAGACCCTTCCAATGGGCAGAAGTGGTCTGGGTGCCTGGAGTGTCCATTTAACATCCCCATAGGAAAGCATTGATTCTCATCGCATTTGCATTGGGTTC